GGGATCCAGCCACTCCACTTCTAGGTACATAACCAAAAGGAGAACTAAAGGCAGGGATGTGAGGAGCTGTTTGTACATTTGATGTTCAAAAGCAGCCTTACTGGGGCGCCTGGGTGGCTCAGTGGGTTAAGCCTCTGCCTTCGGCCCAGGTCATGATCCCAGGGTCCTGGGATTGAGCCCCGAGTCGGGCTCTCTGCTCAGCGGGGAGCCTGCTTCCTCCTCTTCCTCCTCTCTCTGCCTCTCTGCCTACTTGTCATCTCTGTCTGTCAAATAAATAAATAAATAAATATTTAAAAAAAAAAAAAAAAAAAAGCAGACTTACTCACACGGCCAAAAAGTGGAAGCAGCCCGAGTCCCCCACGGTGACTGTGCAAACTTACACGTACCATGGGGTATTCGCCGCAAAAAGGAAGCCAAGTCTGACCCACTCTCCAGTGTGGATGAACCGTGATGACATGACAGTTTGTGACGTAAGCCCAGTGTGAGGCGACAACCACACATGACCGCACGGATCTGAGGTCCCTAGAACAGTCCATTCACAGCGACAGAAAGTTCAAAGGGGTCGCCAGGGGCTGGGGAAACGGGATGAGGACCCAGCCAGCACCCGGCAGGTACAGGGGCTCAGTCTGGCACGATAAGAAATTCTGGGGACGGATGGCGGCGATGCGAATGTACAACAGGAACGGCACCAACTGGACACTTAGAAATGGGTCAAGTGTCCATTTCAGGTTACATGTATTTTGCCACAATTTAAAAAAATAAAAGCTACCTCAGGAAGGAAAGGTCAAGTGGACACGGTAAGGCCACCAGAGGAGCATTTCCACAAACATAAAAATAAGCAGCACACAGTTATTCTGAGGTTTGAAAAAAGGACGGTTAGAACAGCATTTCACGAAAGTTTCTCGTTTATGCGTCTCATGGATGCACCAAAAGGAGCATCACAACCCGAGTCGGAGCCTGTTAGATTCACAGATCGGGCTGGAGGCGAACGGCCACAGGCCGGCTCTCACCCCGGCTCCATGCGCACCCTCGGGCTCCCCCACAAGCCTGCGACAGCTCCCCAGTCCGCCCACTAATCGTCCTTCCCAGGCGAATGTGCTCCCCACTCCCTCAGCTCCCTCTTTCGCTCAGAAAACACCACAGTTAGAAGGGGACGGCTGCTGCCGCACTGGCCTCTGCCCACCCACCCACACGTGGCCCCCTCAGCACCCCGTCGAAGGCAGCCCCTCTGCCGATACCCCGGACCCCAAGCACTTTCGCCTCCTCTCAGCCACCAGAAGCAGACGTCCCCTCCTCACATCTTCAAAACTCCCCTCTACCAAATCGTTTCTATCGGCACAAAACACCGCTATTTTCTCCCCCAAAGGAAATAAAACTTCTCCCATCCCACAGCAGCAGTCCCGTCTCTGCTCCCCCACACACAACACCCCTTGAAAGTCCTGCCCAGACTCCAAACCTCCTTGCCACCCCTGAGCTGCCCCCCACCACCCAAAACGTTCTGTCAAGGTGACCCCCCATTTCCATGTTGCCAAAACCAACGGTCACTCTCAGCTCACCAGCAGTGTCTGGTGCCATTCCCACTCCTTCCGTCTGGCTTCCAGAACAGCACATTCTCCCGGTTTTTCTCTTCTCGTGCTGTAGTGAATTCCTCCCGAGTGTCCTCCGCCAGTTCCTCCCCAAGCCCCTAGACATGGGTGCTCCCCACGCACCTGGACCTCTTCTCCATCTACACTGGCTCCCTTGGTGTTCTCATCCAGAATTGTGGCTTTAAACACCATTGCTAGGCTAGGACCCCCAAATCTGTATTTCCAACCCATGCTTCTCCCTGAGCTCCAGACTCAGAGGGCCAAACCGGCTCACCGGCTCTACCAGAACACCTAACGGGTGCCCCGCACTTCATCTCCCCGAAGCTGAACTGCCCATCTCTACCCCAAAACCTTCTCTGACTCCAGTCCTTCTCGCCTCCGTTAAAGGCAATTCCTATCTATCCACCTTCTCCAATAGCTGAGTGACCTCTGGGTTCTCTCTTGTCCTCAAAGCCCACATCCAAACCCATCAGCAAGTCCTGCTGGCTGAACCGTCCAAACACAAAGTCCTAGCACCACTCAGCGCACCCACGGCTAGTAGTCGTGCAGGCCTAGGAGCGCGTCTCCATGGCCCGGCTCCGGCCCAGCTCCCGCCCGGCTGGTGCTCTCTCAACACCAGGGCCCAGGGACTGTCCTCAACTCAACTCAGAGCTCAGCAACCCCCAGCTCCAACGCCTAGTAAGAGCCGCAACCTTAAACTGGCCCAGGGAGGGAGTCCTACGTAACTGACCCCACTTCCCTCTCAAAGCTCAAGTCCCAGTATTCTTCCCTTGATGCCTCCTGACTCCTCCCTGGCAGCCAGCTCCCCCGCGGGCACCCCCCATTCACTGGGCGCTCTCCCGGGGGTGTGCGCAGGGCTCCATCCCTCAACCGTTGCAGTCTTTGCTTGACGGGCTGTTCCCTTCACAGCGAGGTCTTCCTCCACCAGTCAGTGTACCTGTAACCCTCCACCCCCACCCCACCCAGCGTGTCCCGCCCCTTCCCTACCTTGTTTTCCCCCAACACCTGTCCAACTACCATATACTGTATAGTTCCTGCTCACCATCCCTCTGCCCACCACATGCCTGTCCCCCCCAGTACAGGCGATCTCGACAAGGACAGGGATCTCCTCTATCTTTCCACGCGGACACCCTAGTGCTCAACATAGTGCCTGGCACACAGACTATCAGCACTTCTTCGCTGAATGAATTCCCCAGCCCCAGCTCAAAGGCTCTCCACAGTGACCCCCCCCATTAAGACGGAAATAAGTTCAAACCTTGAGGATCAGCACAGTAACTGGTGCAGGCTAAGGGGAAGAGAAGGGGAAAAGGCCTCTGGACAGACACTCCGCACACCCAGCCTCTTCCTCCCACAGCTCTTCTCCCCATGTGCCCCCACGCTGTTCCAAGGTTAATAGGTTAAGGAAAAAAAGGAGGACAAAGGAAAATGACAATAGTCGTACTCAGCAGGACACAGGAAAGACAAGATGTTGAAGCTGCTGTGGGAACATGGGGATTTATTATGATCTCTCCATTTTTCTATATATTTAATGATTTCCATAATAAAATACCAAAAATTGAAAGAATTTCAAACACAACAAGGCAAAGTTGCCCCAAACAGCTGCATACTGCCGAACCTCAATGTATTTCTGACTTTACCTGGTACGTCTTCACTGACCCTGGAACTGGTAATTAATTCCCAGACTGCTTCCTCATTTATAACAGGGAAATAACTAGTCACTCTTTTCCTCTTCTCTCATGAAAGACATCTTTCAGGATGAAGAACTCTTACAGATAATTAAGCGTGACATGGTTTACCAGTCACACCAACACCAACAGCTATCAAAATTAAACAGGTCCGTCCTTGGCTCTTATTTGGGGACATAAAAAGGCCTGCGTGAGGTGCTAGAGGAACTCTTGGGTTTTGCTGCTGCTAAGAATAACATGTATACATACTTTGGAACTGAAAGCTGGAAAAACAATTTTCATTATCTTATAAAGCTGAATACGCACAGACCCTAGGAACCAACACGTGTGCTGGAGAGACGCACACCCGGGCCCCGAAGACACGCAGACAAGTGTTCATGGCAGCACGCTCCGTCACAGTAATGAATTACAATACCAAGTCCAGCACCAGGGAAAATGTGGTGTCTTCATGCAAAGGGAGATTATACAACAGGGAAAATAAGGAAGTCGAAGAAAGGACGTGCATGAATCTTAGAAACATGTGACAGTGAGAAAAGAAGACTTCCCACAGTGAAGTAAGTTTTCTACAGAGCTCAAGAGCAGGAAAACAAGACACTACATTGTTGAGGAATATCAACAGATAAAACAAAACCATTTTTTAAAGTGCACGGACGTGAAAAAGACAAAAGTCAAAATAAGGAAGCAAAAGGAGGGAACTGAGGAGTAACATATAATTTGCTCTTAGGCTGCATAATACGTTCATGGGTATTTGATTATTTGGCATCATAACGTATGTATAACCATCGTGTGTGTGTGTGTGTGTGTGTGTGTGTGTATGTGTGTGTAATATCACAATTTTCCAAAGGGCACTGATGACCCAGTCCTACTCTTGAAAGCACTAACCCTAGTAAAAATAGTCAAAGCATGTCAAATGAACCCATATTTATGCCCTTAAGGAGACGAAAACCTTACGAAAAGTGACTGTTACATGTACAGCATTGGGTTCCACTGCCATTTTTAAAAATATCAGAATCTAGAAACTGGCTTGAACATTTCCTAAGCCTATATTAAAATCGAATCCCATCAGTGTTATCCTCAGGGCAAGCCTAATACTGATGCTTCCCTAGGGTTCTCAAACAGCAGGTTTCTAGAATTCCAAGTGGAAGGGGGGGGACGGGATTGGGAGTCAAGTCTCTTCACTGAAGAGTGTCTCTAGTGTCTGTGGTTTTCTGCTACTGTCGCACATGAGTCTCGGTTTAAGGAGAGAACAAAGAGCTCAATGCTTCCACTGCTCCACTTTCCGCAGGAAGTACATGCCACTTAAGAGGGGCTCAGAGACAAACGTACTTGAAAAACAAGTCGTCGGGAAATGATACCATCGTTGTGTTTGAGCTTACGCTCTGCACGTCTAGCAGAGTGGCCATTAGAAATGGATCCTGCTTAACCATACATGAAACTGGGAGCAGCTTCATGTCTGGAAATTAATGAGTGAGCGTAAATGAAAACAAACAAACAAACAAACAAAAGCAAATAAAATCTCATTCCACAACAACAGTAACCAGCGACCATACACGCTAGACACCAGTTCCGTGAGCCTGCGCCACGGTCTCCCCAGCACCACCGGGGGGCACTCGGTCAATGTTTGCGGAACGTGTGGGGGAATCCTTTGATTTAAAAGGTCAGGAATTTCCTCGTTCTAACCACCAACCATGCACCAAGCAAGACACCGACAGAAACTGCGTGTCCTCACCATCTCGGGCACCGGAACCTGTCAACATGCAAGTGCGCAGTAGCTTCAACAGCAACTGGAGGCATCTGTCGGCTCTCAGCACGGGCATGTAGGCATTGGTGCCCAACTTCAGAAGGGAGTCCAGGAGAGGGTCTAAGAATATCCTTAATACATTCTGTGTTCTCCTCTTTTCACTAGGTATTAAAAGACATGCCCAAATCAAGCATTGCAAAAGCATGAAGAAATTACTTTCCATCTCTAACTCGTGGAACTGGGGAGCTACTGGATGTGATTGGACAGACTCGGTCGCACGGACGCTGCGGACAACTGGTGCCTACTAGGACCAATCTGCCCTCTGGCTCCTTGCTGACCTCGCAGTCTAGGCTTTCTCGGTAGATTCTCTGTGTGCTCGCGAAGGAAGCACAGGGAAGAACATATCACACTCGACTCCAGGCACAAGTAGGAAGGAAATCCGATACCCAATTTATTTGTAAATTAAAGTGCTGAGACCCTGATATCATAATTCAAAAAAAAAAAAACAAAACAAAACAAAACAAAAAACCAAAATGTGTACTAGTCAAGGAAATGAGATGCTAACAAAAAATAAAAAGAAATTAAGGGTTTATAAAAAACCAACATAACCAACTTTCATACTGAAATTCTGTCTACAGAAGAGATTTGATGTTAATCAAATCAACCACATATGCAAATACACTAGCAAATGACGCTGCTTCTAGCAACAATTATACTCTGGTGAGAACTGATCTGTGCACATTCTTGAAATATGAATGAATTTTATCTTTATTACATTAAAAAAATTATACATTTTACAAAGGGGTCAAATTCCTGAATTTCTTTACCTAATCTTATGCTAGAATCTTATAACCTATTCTTTTAATATTCTTTTATAAGGGGCGCCTGGGTGGCTCAGTGGGTTAAGCCTCTGCCTTCGGCTCAAGTCATGGTCTCAGGGTCCTAGGATCAAGCCCCACATCAGGCTCTGCTCAGCGGGGAACCTGCTTCTCCCTCTCCCTCTGCCTGCTTCTCTGCCTACTTGTGATCTCTGTCAAATAAATAAAATCTTTTAAAAAAATATTCTTTTATAAAACCAGTGATTAGTATATATAGTTTTTCTCTAACAGTTGAACTTTCCTCCAAAGACTAATAAGTCCCTATTCCTACCAATTTATTATTAATTTTAGACATTTCTCTAGCATACCGCCAGTGCTCTGGTTTCTCCCTTTCATACACTATGATCAATTCCACACCCATCATAGAAAAGTCTGAACAGGGACCATACATCTGATTAGGCTTTTTAAAAAAAAAAAAAAAAAAAAAAAAAGATTTCTTTCCAAGTTTTGAAACCCTTACCTGTACTGCGTCTTCATTCCTTCCACATCTACAGCCAGCAAGACCATCATAGCAACGAGCTTGGCTTCCAACCAGTCAGGCATAAAGCAGTCTTCTCCTGCTGAAATAACAAGAGTTGAGGCTTGTAAAGCATTAACAAAATCCTTCAAAGATGATGTTTCGAGAAGGAAACAGCTACAGGAGCATACCTTATCAATATCAAATTAGAAGCATGGAGGTGTGCAGAAGCACACTCCTGGGCATAGCTCACTGTTTCGATGACCGCGGTAGTGAGCAGTATAAAATGGCACAACGGGGGTGCGCACTAGGAGGCCGTGCCCTCATCTGTCTGGGGAATAAGAGAAAGTCCCCTGAGGAAGGACAACCGGGCTGAGCACGAAGGCTGGGAAAGAGTACAGCAGGTGAAGGGCGGCAAGGCTTCCCCAAGGAAGGCAGAACATGCCGAAGGTCCTCTGGAGAACGGGGACGCCACGTTCCAGGGGACAGAAGGATGCCCGTGCAGCAGGGCACGGGAGTGGGAGGGAGTGCCAGAGTCGAGGTGACACAGACACCCAGGGAAGAGCCCAGGGGACTTAGCGGGCCATGCAGAGAATTCCTGTCTGACCCTACAGGCTAGGGGAAGCCACTTCAGGTTAAAGTGAAGGCTCAGCGAAGAAAAGGAAACATCTGTAGATCCAAATTAGTAGTTTAAAAAGACTTCTGCGGGTACAATGCAGAAGAGGGACTGTACAGGAAGAGGAGATTCGAGGAGATGCATTAAGAGGCAAGTCTAGTTATTTCAGTTGAGAAAGGAAAATTGCCTAAAATGTAAGCAGCAGGAGGTTGGAATGGGTACGGGCCCAAAGGCTCTGGAGCCTCGGACCCGTGTCTGAGGCCCAGTCCTGTGCTACTTTGCTGTGGGACCCTGCGACAAGGGCTTATCCTCTCAGAGAGCTTAGGTCTGTGCTGTAACTAACATAACATTATGCATCAGCTACACTCAAAGAAATAAAACAGAACAAAAACCTCAAAAACAACAAAAAAAGAAAGTTTAGGTCATCTTCTGTGAAATAAAACTAATAAAACCTATGACTCTCCTTGGGTTTATTATAAAAATTAAATTTACTCAAAAGTTTCCAGAATAAGTTTTGGAAGACAGAACATGGTTAACAGATAGAATGAGTATTTTACCATCTCTAAAAGCCAATTAAACAAAAATAATCCATAAACGGATTTCTTTTTCATTCATGGTGTATTATTATAGCAAGATCACACCTTTCACCTCGATTCCCAAGAAAAATTTAGGTAAGAGATCTAGTTTTCCAGCTCAGTAGTTTAAATACTTGAACCATTTTCTTAAATATGCTAATATATTTCGGGGGTAATTTCATATATTTTAACATAAATTTAATGGAATACTACAGAAGATAAACCCAGTTTAAAAACACAACAAAAGGATGTTATAGATTATTTTTTAAATGCTATAAAAGCCACTCTAGTTGCCATCAGTAAAAAAATCTACTCATATTTTTTTTTAAAATCCCAGTGTTGGTGCTATCCCAGAAAATGGAGTAGGCTAAACCTGTTAAGTGTTGTAAGACGAGTTATTGAAACTTGTTCTTGGGAACATTTTTCCTCACATTACTGCTTCCTACCACACACTTCTACGATGTCCTTCATAGGCACAGACTAAGACACTGTCATTCACGGGCTGTCCTGCAAGCAGACACCCTGGACATCGCAGGAGCTGGCGGGGAGGGGGTGCCGCTCCGGTCGCGCTCCCATGGCATGGCAGCAGGGAGCCCCAACCTCAAGTACAACACGCGTGGGAATGACCAGCACACACAGTGGGTCCTCAACGCGGCTAACGCGATGGTTTTCACTTCCTTCAGCAAAGCACAGCAGCGTTCTGGAAACACAGAGCCTGCTCGACATCCTAGGCTACTGCTGACCTTGGATACTGCAAGGGAAGGTTATCGATCTGAAGTGGAGTGGAGTTTTAATGACTTCCGCTGTCAAGGGATGCCACCGGTCCAGACCAGAACAACAGGGCGCCTTGCTCCTCCAGTGTAAGCCACGCCCTGGCAGGTGCACCTGACATGGGGTGCTCCCTGAGGACCTGGCCACCACATGAAGCAAGTCCACGCTACAGAGTGTGGCTCTCAAACCCGCGCCTGGTGCAGAATCCTCTGGAGGCTTTTTCAGTACAGAGGGTAAACACGACCCGCCTCCCTGAGTCTGATTCAACAGGCCTGGCACAGAGCTGGAGGATTTGTTTTCTAAAGAGTATCCAGGTGATGCTGGTGTTGCTGGTCTAGAAACCATACTCTGCAAACCACTGAGGGGGAATTCCCCATTTCGCACACTGAAGCTAGAGAAGTGGAGGCAAAATGGTTTTAAAGAGACAAAAGAATCGTTGGCTCTGACTGATCACCTGAATGCATTTTAGCCCCGAATCATGGTCAAATCTTGCTACCATAAAGTTCAAACACCGAGTGTAATTCTAGAAAATGCAAACTAGTCTGTGATGTTGGAGAGCACACACGGCTTGTCTGGGGTGTGGAGGAAAGGTAAAGTGGAGGGAAGGATTAAAAAAGTCATGAAAACACTTTTGAGTCTGACAGGATAGGCGCGTTACATCACCATGCTGGTGGGTTTCGACAGACGTAGGTCCAAACCCATCACACGTGCAGCTTAAACATGTACAGGGTGATGCAAGTCAATCATACCTCAACGCTGTTTTCAAAACGTGTTGTACAACTGCAATATACTACTTCAGAGCTAGTCTGTGTCTCTAAAAAAAAAAAAAAAATGTAACCAAGAAATCTAAAGATTTATTCATTTGAATAAATGAGAGAGAGACTCAGAGAGAGATCAGAGAGAGAGAAACTCAGAGAGAGATCACAAGTAGGCAGAGAGAGAGGAGGAAGCAGGCTCCCTGCTGAACAGAGAGCCTGATGCGGGGCTTGATCCCAGGACCCTGAGATCATGACCTGAGCCAAAGGCAGAGGCTTCAACCCACTGAGCCACCCAGGCGCCCTCTTGATTACATTTTAAGTAGGCATATCATTTAACTACAAATGTCCTTTCCACGGGACCGCTTGATTTAAGTATACATTTCTTCAAATGTATTTCCCTCCCTGGTTAATCTTAGCACATCCAAGGTCTGACCAGCCTTCAGGGCTATTTCCAAACTATGTTTCACTTTCCGTGATTCAGAAAGCCTGCCCCGAAAGGTCTTTGGCATGTTTGTTCACAGGTGATGCTGGTTGTGTTGTTTTGCTGCTATTCCTTTGTTCTGTTGTCTTGGGTACCAGGTGTCCAATAGGGTGTGTGTATGCATGTTTATGTGTGTGTATGTGCCCCATATCCTCCTTGCCACCTACCATTCCTTCTTGGGCTCCATGCAACAGACAGAGGACAGATACATAAATAGACAGACACCTCCCGACTTTCAGCTCCCCTGGATGCAAGTTCTTGCAAGCCTTGTGGGACACTCCTTCCCGCTTTTCACCTTCATTTCTGCCCAGTGGTCAGATGTCACCCATAGGGTGACCTCCCTCTACTTCTGCTGGTCTATCCATGCCAAGCAGGCACTGCTTACAGAGGTTCCCCAGCCTGGTGCTTATTACGTCTTTTGAGGCACTGTGCTAAGATTATCTGCTTACCCATCAACCTCCTTGCTAGACGACGCTCTCTCTGAGGGCAGGAGATACAGTTTTTATCTCTGTGACTCCGTGCCCAGCTCTTAGAAAACACTCGATATATGTCTGAGGAATCGACAGTGCAAAATCTATCTGCACCAACTATGCCAAAAGCCAGAGAAAAAGCTACTTTACATGTAGAACCTGATTGAAAATAGTGTTTTGGCCACTAAGTCCCTATATAAGAACAAAACTGAAAAAACTACTTTTATGTTCAGAAACTCAAGCTGAATTTTGTTTGGTTGGAACTTATTAACTTGCTCTGAAAACTGCCCCAGTAATTGCTAATTAAACTTTATAAAGGCACTCGGCCAAGGGCATTAAAAGTCAAACAAAAATATTAAAACACACACAAACACCTCTTTTGCACCTAAAATCAAGTTTTAATTTTTTTAAAAATTTAGAATAGTCTATTAAACCATGTATTTTAAGTCCTAGAAATATTACAGAAAAATTCTAAAAATATTGTTTCATATGATTTTGAATATTTACTCAGCTCTAATGCTGATGATATACTCTAAATTATAAAACAAGTTCTGAAGACATTTTAGGGACTTTAATGTATGTTTAGTCTAGTAGGGATAAAAATTTATTTACCTCTATAGGCCTAACAAAAGAATCCTCCCAAGTAACAGCACAGAGAATTTATTAGAGGGGGAATAAAACACGAAAGAGAAATGTTCTAAGAAGGAAAAACAGATAAACTCATTTATTTCAGAAGAATAATTATCTGATCATTTAAAGCCTATTCTAGGATCAGGTTAGAGAAATCAGTACATGAAAACAACTCGGTCTGAGACAAAGCCGGGAAATTTAAGACATTTTAAATATAAAGATGCAATTTACCCAAATTATCAACTAAGGGCTTTAATGAAGAAGAAGCATTAGAAATGTAAAAAGAACCCTAATTAATGAATCTGCTAATAGTTCTTCCCTCAGTGCGGTCTTACCCATTTCCCTAAAGAAGCTGGAAAATGGATCTTGACTGAGTACCTGGTAAAAAGAAAAAAAACCATCCTTTCAAATATAATTTTTCTCTAAAACTACTTTTCACATGAGTTCATACGACATGTGATGTTCTGAAAACAAACACACAAAAGATGCAGTGATTTATCTACAAATACTTCCACTTACAGAGGCTTTATGAACACATCGGCAGTATTTAGCCCGTGAGGATTCACTAATCATAGAATCAGTCTGTCTCTGTCCAATTCCTATTCTGACAAACTTACTAGTTTCTTAAAACATACAGAAGTAGTTTAAAATCTCAAGTCCTAGACCAGATGAAGTACAAGTTAGGAAACGTGTTTTTACATTCCGTTTCTTTACATTATTTGGCTGAAAGTACGAGTTTGGGATCAGAAAGTCGGCACATATTTGGTTAAACTTCTATCTGGATTGGAAAAACTAGTTAAAAGTTCTTTGGAAGTAATTTGGTGATGTGAATCATATAAAGGACTTCAGACTTACTTTCCCCAGCAGGTAACGTAATATATTCTTGAACTAGGTTCTTCACGTAAGCATTTAAAGACGGTGTCTCGGGAAGTCCAGTGGGACTACAGGCTGAGGCTCGCCCAAAACAGCTTTCATTAACACGCAGCCAATCACAGAGCTAGGAAAGAAAAGAGTCATTACTTTATTTTAAAAACCTAACTGAGCAAAGGGTTTCTGATTTCCCTAAGCCAAGTTTCTTTCCTCCACGATAAACTGAATTTAAATATCTGAACACAACAGGGGTGCCTGCGGGGCTCAGTCACATAAGCATCTGACTTCAGCTCAGGTCATGGTCTCAGGGTCCTGGGGTAGAGTCCCGGGTCAGGCTTCCTGCTCAGCGAGGAGTGTGCTTGTCCCTCTGTCCCTCCCCCTGCTCGTGCCCCGCCCCCTCAAATAAATAAAATCTTAAAAAAAAAAAAAACTCAACACAACAAAGTAATAGAACATTTAGTCACGACTGAATTCTACAGAGCATGCAGACAGAAAAAATATGTGTATCCGTATATATACATGTGCGTGTATCTATACGTGAATATATAAACTTCATTTACAGGCAAGAATTTTTAAAGTACCTAATATATAGTGCACATTTTGGTAAGGTTTTCTAAAGAACATCTCTGTGAAAAATGACACATTATGTAAACCGAATTACAACCGTAAATTAAAATAAAATTGAAATTCATTCCTGCTTCCTATACTAAAACAAGGTATGTTTGTTTTTCTATTAGTTATAATTAAAGTTTCTACCCTCCTCACAAGTGTACTTTCTATCACATGTGCATTTTTTAAAACATATTAACTTAAAAGAGGCATACTAGTCCTTCTTCGTTCTTTTTTAAAAGATTTGCAAATCTAAAAGTCACAGAATTCATCTTTGATCACAAGTAATAGTGAATTTTGTTTTGAAATTGAATTATGTTCTCAGTTTTCTTTTTTTTTTTAATTTATTTATTTGACATACAGAGATCACAAGTAGGCAGAGAGGCAGGCAGAGAGAGACGGAGAAGCAGGCTCCCTGCTGAGCAGAGAGCCCGATGTGGGGCTCGATCCCAGGACCCTGGGATCTTGACCTGAGCAGAGGCTTTAACCCACTGAGCCCCCCAGCGCCCCCTCAGTTTTCTTTTTATAGCATATCTCTTACTTTACAAATTCAACATATGAATTTAAATATGAAGCAAATAACTATGAAGTAAGTCTTTCTAAAAAGTAAGAATTTTTTTAAAAAGTATTCCTTGCATTGGGGTTCACCAAAATTACATACAAGGAGACAATAATGTCTTGACCAGAGACAAACCTGACGAACAAACGAATCCGTTAAGACTAAAACTGACATCCCATTGCTGCCAACGAACGAGCAGTTCTGTAACAGTAAAGAAGCTGCTCCGTGTAGGTCTTTACCGAGTCGGGTCGTTATAAAATCTAACAGTGAGGTCAGCCAGGAGACTGATCTTTCGACAGAATAGACTTTTTCTTTGTTATTTCTGTCAAACTGGCCACACTACATTTCTCAACTATTGCTATGAAACGCATGAGGTTTTACAAATCTTGCATTTCCCACAAGCACTGTCCTATTATAACAAAACTGACAAACTCAAATTCATACTTGCTGCTTCTATCAAATCTGTCCCAGGATTCAGAATGTTTTCTCTCCAAAGAGTTTTCATGTCAGAATTATGGTTTAAAATGGCATTTACCTCGCAGTCTCTGGGAGACAGGTTCCCTTGATTTCCCATTAAAATGCAAATCTCAAAAGTTTATTTGCATTCTGCCAAGACAATGAGAAGATGCCACAGACTGGGGGGAAATATTTGTAAAAGACCCATATCTGGAAAAGGGTTGGTCTCCTAAATATACAAAGAACTCTTAAAACTTAACATTAAGAAAACATTCAATCTGATTTTTTAAAATGGGCAAAAGATAAAAACAAACACCTCACCAAAGAACACATACAAAGAGCAAATAGCATATGAAAAGATGCTCAATGTCACAGGTCCCTACAGAATTGCAAATTAAAACAAGCTACCACTACACACCTCACAGGACGGCTAAAGTCCACATCACGGACAGCACCAAAAGCTGACAAGGACACGGGGCAACAGGAAAACTCCTTCACTGCTGTGGGAATACAAAATGGTCCTCCCACTTTGGAAGACAATTTGGTAGCTCCTTAAAAAACTGAAAATTTTCTTAACATCTAATCCAGGAACTGTGCCCCTTAGTATTTATTCAAATGAGTTGAAAGTTTATATCCATACAAGAACCCACATGTGCATGTTTATAGCAGCCTTATTCATAATTGATAGAATTTAAAAACAACCAAGATGTCCTTCAGGAGGTAAATGAACAAACAGTGGTACATCAGACAACGGGATGTTATTCAGGGATAAAAAGACATGAGCTATCAGGCCATGAAAAGCCATGGAAGAACCTTAAATGTGTATTTCTTAGTGAAAGAAGTTAATCCAAAAACGCTTAATAGTGTAAGATTCCAACTATACCACATCCTGGAAAAGGCAAAACCATGGACACAGAGAAAACATCAGGGGTTGCCAAGGGTTGGGGGGCGGGTGTGGCATGAGAGAAGAGACAGATAAAATGGTGGAACACGGGGGATTTTTAGGGCAATGAAACTAACCAGTGTGATATTATAATGGTGAGTACATGTTATTATATGTTTGTCAAAGTCCATAGAATATACAACAAAAAGAGTGAACTCGAATGTAAACTATGGACATTACTTAATTATCATGTATCAATATCGGCTCATCAATCATTAGTACAAGATTTTAATAACAGAGGCGGTGAGGAGGTGTGTGGGAACTCTCTGTACTTCCTATTCAATTTTTCTGTGAACCTAAAACTGCTCTGAAAAATAAAGTCTGTTAATTTAAAAACTTACTTCGCTGGAGCTAGATAAAATTGCCATTTCCTTAGGTTAAAAGGGACTGAATATCAATGATCTTACATGATTCAACATACAGAGATTTACACAATAATGAGAACACCACTACACTGCAAGTTAGACTCTATAGCAACATCTACATTAGGGGACATATATATACTTGCTTCTATTTTTAAACCAAAGAATTAAAGTTTGGGTTCAGCTATGAACCACCAGACGTCAGCTTCCTGAAGACGGCGGCCATGTTTATCTCGCTGACCTTGTATTCCCAAAACTCAGCTCAGAGCCTGCGGTGTACAAGGTGTCCAATAAATAGTTTTCAAACAAGGAAGACATAAAGAGATAAGCAAACATACCAAGAGAAAGTTAAAAAGAAGGAAAAACATGAAGACAAGTTACTGAATTAGAGAAGAGAGAAAATCAGAACAAATTAGGAAATCTAGGGGGGCTGCCTGCTGACCAATAATAAGACAACATCTGGCTGGTCAAGGGGGAAAAGACCGTAATGGCAGAGTGTGCTTACACTTGGTGGGGACCAAGCATCGTCTGAAACATTGCCACGTGCACTTTCTCAATGACACCTCACAGCTCGTGCCACACACCAGAATAAATTCCAGATGGATTAACCACAATTTGCAAACTAGACCTATCGATGCAATGACAGACCTCATCTGAATACTTAAAGCCAAATATATGAACAAAATGCAAAAAACAAACACATTTATTGGACATCTGGAGCAATTTAAACACCAAATATTTAAAATCAAGAAATGATCATTAACATTTGTAGGTGTGCTAAGGGCCTATTTAGGCCCTTTCAAAGTCTTTATCTTTTAGCAGCACGTATTTCCAGATGAAATGGTAAGATCTGAGACAAACGTCCAACAAAAGGAACTGATTAAATAAATTCTAAAATGTTTCATCAACTGAATTTTTAAATATTACATAGTGGAGAGTTAGCAACATGTTAAAAATGCTCAAATGTATGTGAAGATGAAAAATAAAATTCCGAATGGTATAACCGTTACTTTGTTTAGAAAATCATACATGTTAATCTATCACTTTAAATGTAAGCCTATAGAGTGAGAAAGCAAGACTGAGAATATGTATACTGAAAAACTTAATAATTAAGCCAAAAAAATCTGGATTTAGTTTGATTGTAGACATCACAGGTGATTTTTATTTTCTTCATACAGTTCTCTATTTTTCAGATTCCACCTAATTAGACGCATTATGATTAAGAAAATCAAATTCTCATTTTTAAAGACCCCGATTTTCTTTGTCTTCATTCCCTCCATTACCCTACTACTCTATGCCCTTATGATTTCCCACCTGAATTATCTTAACACGGTTCAAGCTGATTTCTCGTTTCCCTCTGTGCATCCACAGACGGACTTGCCTTCTGGTTTTTTTTGTTTTGTTTTGTTTTTTTAACAGACAGAGATCACAGGCAGGCAGAGAGAGAGGAGGAAGCAGGCTTCCCACTGAGCAGATAGCCCGATGCGGGGCTCAATCCCAGGATCCTAGGATCATGACCCAAGCCGAAGGCAGAGGCCCCAACCCACTGAGCCACGCAGGCGCCCCCCGACTTGCCTTCTAAAAGAAATAATCACATCCCTGCCCTCTGTGATCTCTTAAGCAGTGGAGAAATAGAATTCTTTTTTTGAAAAGCTCCCTGTCCTCAAAAACCACAGAACCTGCAGTGGACACAGACTGGGATCCAACCAGCTCTGCAAGGGCTAAGAACCAACAGGAATAGCGTGACCAGAGCTCCAGAGGGGAGGACGCAGACCCCTGACGACCCCACACAGAAGAGCAGCCCCGCGAGGCCAGGGGCCTGCAGCGCCGTCGCAGGGTCTCTACTCTCCAGAAGAGGAAGGGCGTGTAGGATTGGTTTGATGCAGAAAGTCAGGAAGAATCTGCAATTACCAAAATGTCAGACTCGGGCAACTGGGCGATGAAGTGCCATGGACAGACAGAAAAAAACAGCAAGAGGAGGTCCATGTCGTTGCTTTTGAGTCTAACGTCTTCCTCACTCCTGATCCATCTCATCCAGATTTGCAATCTGCCCACGAGCGCTTCCTTTCTCTTCTAAGTCTGTCTCTATCCCAAACACTGTCCAGTCTCCCCTTAAGAGTCTCAGCAGCATGATTATTTAGGTTCACTCAAAGCAAATATACAATATTTAAAAACCTCTGTTGGTAGGTAACAAAGCCATCATTATATTTTACATAAGTGACTAGTGAGTTCAGTTAGAAAACAACTTTTTATGACTTTTCAAAGACATTATTATTATTTTCCATCTCACCTCTGTCCACAATGAGGTTCCTCGTCCTAAGGACTCCTCTTGTCTCAGAGACATGAGAAAAGTTGAAACATCTGAAAGGGTCACCTTCTCCTATACGGGAGGAAGAGAGGGACGGTGTCAGGGCAGTTTAAAAAAATGACTCCTTTAAAAATTTTTAATAAAATGAAATCACTGTAAAAGCAAGTTAACATACCACTTAAAGTAGAATATTATTAGTTAAATCAAAAGAAAGCTTTTTAAAAAAAAATCTGACTTTAGAAAAGATATTGACTACAAGCAATCAATATGTTACTATATAAAGTGAAAGATTATTTTCTAAGTCTATTATCCTTATGATCAAGATTACTATCTTAGGGGTGCCTGGGTGGCTCAGTGGGTTGGGGCCTCTGCCTTTGGGCTCAGGTCGTGATCCTGAAGTTCTGGGATTGAGCCCTGAGTTGGGCTCTCTGCTCAGCTGGGAGCCTGCTTCCTCCTCTCTCTCTGCCTGCCTCTCTGCCTACTTGTGATCTCTCTGTCAAATAGATAAATGAAGTCTTTAAAAAAAAAAAAAAAAAAAAGATTACTGTCTTAGAGACAAGATGGTCAGAGTCTAAAAGCAAAAACAAATACATTCGATAAGAAGTTACTTAAGTTGAAAAGTGAAGCTGACTTTCAAAGCCATGGAAACAACTCCCAGCCTTCTGAAAACCACAGAAGTCTTTTCATTCCCTTAAGGCTGTACATCTTGAATTAAGATACCTTGCTCTAGGCCAAGTGTCAGCAAAACCACTCAGCTCTTTTGTAAATAAAGTTTTAACTTATTTTAGCCACTTTATTTATAAACTGTCCATGGCAGCTTTTAAGTAATTATAACAGAGACCACGAACTTAAAAAAGGACTTTTCTGGCCCTTCACAGAAGAAGTTTGCTGACCCCTATTCCCGGCAATAGTAGCAAAGGGGCTCTGTAAAAAAACAAAAGATACTACAGACTTCTTAAAGATCAATTTTTGGGAAGATGTGCAGAAAAAGTATAGAGGAAATCAGGCAAAAGCTTCCAAGGGTCCTGTCCCAGGGGAGTCACCCAAGACAGCTTTAATCCCGCCAGCAATTAGCTGTCCCTACGTGTGAACTGTTGTCTACAAGGGAAGCCGGTTACAGACCCACGGCTCAGGGTTCTTACTGGGAGGATTTTTACTGGCACCCCTGCTGAGCACACTCCAAGAGTCCAGACTCCGAGAAGGAAAGCAGGTGTCAGGGTAAACCACACCGTTTGTGTACACACCGGGCACAGTCCATCACTCTCCCGAGTCAGCACAGGGGGAGCCCTCCTGACACCCACATTCCAGGCCTCCAACAAGCACCGGGCTGACTTTACGGGCAGGGCTTTCTAGTGAGAGCATCACAGACCTGCTCCGTTCACACGTTTTTGCACACTTATTCAGGGAGAAAAACTCATAGACTGAAGTATCCCGAGTAAAAGACAAACTTACCACATCTACTAAATTCATGGCCGTCTGAAGAAGATAGCACTGTGCGGCCCCTCTCAGCAGGACCTGGTGGGTGATCATCGTGCGCTGCAGAACGTCCCTGATGTCAGAAAACAGAAACATGCATTTCCATGTTCCCAAAGACAGTTCTGGTAACTTGTAAATACTGACAAGCTCATCTAGAGTCTCTACAACTCCCAATGTAGAGAGTCACTGTCAGTACACTTTCAAAGCTATTATTTCCTTAAGGTCTCTCTGGTAGAGCTCGATTTTAATATGAAATACATCTCTTCCAAAAAACTGTAAATAAAGATACTATTAAAGTAAGAGTTCTACATTTTTTGAAAATCTTTGCAATCATTATTACTGTTTGATATTTTTATCTCTAGTTTTCTGCATATCAATGTAATATAAGAAAACCTTATTGGCCTGGTCTTAAAATTAAATCCAATAGCATGTATTGCGGCACATATTTAAATTAGTAATTCATAAAACAAAATAAGTCCAACCATATAAGTCAACTTTTTACTTCTCAATACAAAATTACGAGCTCAAAAGAGCAAGCTCACATCCCAATGCCAGTATTAACTAAAACGACTCACTATAGGCTAAAGCAGAGGGGAAAACAAAATTTACTGACGGAAAGTTACTGCAGACGACCCTATGTGAACATCCGAACGTGTGTGAACACAGAGTAGATTACCTGAGAGCAAGAAGCCCTTCTATACCCAGGGCTTTACATCTTGGGACATTTGCCAAAGCCTTAGACAGAAACAAAATGGGAATGGCACACCAATGTCTGCTTGTCATCTTCTGAATAAACTTTAGTAGGAAACTACCTGAAAGAGAAGGTTTTAAAATGTCACTGTCGCCAAGAATCTCACGGAAAGCTGCTGGGCACCGTCAGCAGGTATGAAATGCAAATCGAAAACCATGCGTGGCACCTAAGAAACAGCGCAGAGGATCGTCGGGGAAGGGAGGGAAAACGGAACGGGAAGAAATCAGAGAGGGAGACAAACCAGGAGAGACTCTGGGCTCTGGGAAACAAACTGGGTTGCTGGAGGGGTGGTGGGTGGGGGAAAGGGGTAACCGGGTGATGGGCATTAAGAAGGGCAGGTGTGGTGATGAGCGCTGGGTGTCACACACAACTAATGAATCACTGAACACTACACCAAAAACTAATGAGGCCAACTCAGGCTGGCTAACTGAATTTAAATTAAAAAAAAAAAAAAAAAAAATGAGATAGAACTTCAAATCCATGAGGACGGCTCTCGCCAAAAGCACAGACACTAACAAGTGCTGGCACGGAAAGAGAAACTAGACTCTCATACACTGCTGGTGGAACGCAAGACGGCACGGCCAGTGTAGAAAACGGTTACACCGAGATAGTTACACTGAGTTACACCGAGAACTACCATCGGCACCAACAACTGCACTCCTAGGCATACACTCAAGAGAACGGAAAGCACGTGTTCGTACAAAAACTTGTACGTGAATATTCACAGTAGCATTTTCCAGATGGCTACCAACTGCTAAAGGATAAATAAAATGTGTGATATCTGTACAGTAGAGTATTACTTAGCCATAAAAAAGAATGAAATACTGAAACATGGGTCCTTACTGGATGACTCGTTCACGGCTGATGAACCAGACATAAATTAAAAGGCCACATATTCTAGGATTCCATTTACAGGAAATGACTAGAATCAGCAAATCTGTAGAGGAAGGAGATTAGTAGCTGACAGAAGCTGGTGGGAAAGGAGAACGGAAAGGGATCGGTGATGGGTGGCGAAAATATTCTTTCTGGGAGTGATGAAAATATTCTAGAGTTAATGGTGATGGTCACAGAACTTAGTGAATGCACGAAAAACCAATGAAAGAAACACTTTAAAAGGACGAGTTTTGTGGTCTGTGAATTCTAGCTCAACAAACCTGTTGGGGGAAAAAAAATCAGTGCTATTTCAATCTCAGCCCCGTAAAATAAGTACTCTACTATATTGCAGAGATTCTGATAACCACACAACTATGAAAAAAAGAAAAAGTTTAAAGTGTAAGATCAATTTTTTCTAGTGTTAGAAACCAGTCCTCTGTTGGGAGAGGTTAAAGAAAAACACGGTAAGAATTACTGATGATAGATGGCCTCTCATATCTGCGTGCAGTAACATTAGATCACATATGCCATTTCTTACTCCCTCCGGATCTGGTCACTAATTTTCCATCTTGAGATACCAAGGTTAAGGTTCTCTGTTCTGCCTTCTCTGCTAGTAAGTGACTTCTTAAAGACCCTCAAGTCACATAATTAGTGAAATGTCTGTTTCCTCTGATCATCACTGTAGAATGACCCAAGAAATCCCTGGAAGCTCCTGAAAGGAGCTTGTGTTTTATTTTATGTTTAGTTATAAAACAATATTTTATATTATGTAGTTATTTTATATTTTATATATAAAATATATTTTATATCTTCCAAATACCTAGCACGAAACATTTAAGATACTCACTGGGAACTGTTGACTGAAAAATGTACTAAGTAAAAAACTGAGTAAACACTGTACTTGCCTTCTCTTCTGTTGGACTAATTAAGTTCCACTTTGCCTAACGCCTCACTCATGGCACAGGGAAGATGGGGATGGCCACACTTCCATTTCACATTTGTTCAACACACTTACAAGCGTCCACAGCATGCTGGCCATGGCCAAGGACAGCAGGCACGCATACCCTCGGGGCGCTCCCAGCACCCTCCCTCTTTCCGCACTGCTGACCTGGGATGGGCCAACATGGTCAGCAAAGCAATCCCCAGACTGCATATGCTTCTGTCTTCTGGCAAACTACAGAACTTCTGAGAGAATCTTCTCCACGAACTAATTTTTTTAAAAAAGTAATCGAATGAGCCAATTTTCTAGACACCTAAAGTTGGGATACACAGATCATCTTTTTGCTTTTTTTATCCCTGACTTCTGAGCAGACATTACCGTTGGTCATTGTTTTACCCTGTTTGCAGACAAAATACAAAAGGAAATGTGTGTCTGTTTCATACCCAGGGTCGCTTTATGAGCCACAAAGCCACAAGTGAAGAAAGGACCCAGGAAGTAGAGTTAAGTCCTTCTGCGGCTCAACTAACAAAATAACACTGGTGTTGCTCTCTGCTTACCAACTTAACTCACCAGAAAGGAAGGTAAATCACCAATCCAAAGAAGTGGGTATTTCTAAGATACAAGCTCTACATAAAGCAGGAGTATTTTTCTTCTACCTGTCAAGTTCCTGTCTATAGTGGGGCAGTTTTGCCACAATGGATATTCTGTTTGCAACTTTTTCCTGAACCCAGGTCGCTCTTTCTTCAACCATTTTACTAATTTTGGGGAAGCGAATAGAGAAAACTAAAGATGGCCATCAGCAGCACACGTTCTAAAATGACTTCCACACTCCTCGAGCCAATACTGGCAATATGTGTTATGTGTCAAGGCAAAAGTTGTACCCAACTACAATGAACACCTGTAAGATTCTGAAAAATATATATATATTCCAGAAAAAGAAAACTATTTTGAAAGTACTGATTATAATAGTCATAGGATAGTGCTTATCACCAATATACTAAAAATTTTAAAGCTAATAAATTAAAAAAACTTTTTACTGACACATACTCTTTATTTCTTCTGGAAGAAGAGAAACATAAGTGACTAAAAACTTCTGTAATTTCAATCCCAGTGGAGAACCACTTCCTATCAGCTGGCCTGGGGACCTATAGACAAATGAGGGAAAAAAAAAAACAAATATTTAAAATTTACAAGTAAGCATACCGAAACTAAGTGAACTATGGCTCAAAAGTCTTTCAACAACAATCAGATCATCTTTTTCTAAACCTGCATTTTATTTATCAGTGAAATTCTGAAGATCCTTCTGAATACGAAACATCAGGATCTTCTAGGAAAACAGACATGAGTTAGTATCATAACATACTAAGTAGACACGGATTTCCTTTTTATGATACTTTCCCTGACACACACTATGAATCTTGCTAAAATAGCATCATCTTAAAAAAGTCTAAAAGTGATCACTTTCAATCGTATTTTATTGTTTCCAACATATACTCCAACGATTTAAAATCTTTAAGTATTAAATAAAAGAAATTTCATTCATAGAAAAACATATCTGAGTAATTACTGACTTCTGTAAGAACATTTAATTGTCAACGTCTACTACAGTCATGTTTTCTCCTGCTATATGGTTCCACCAGGAACATTATCTGTTAATTGAACACATTAGAGTGTGCGGAAACTGAAGGCATTTCATAATAAATGTGTCTGTCGCCTCCTTGAGAGGCACCGAGTAGGTTTTACTGCTCTCCAGCTGTCTAACTGCTTCACAGAACTCTTCAATAGTAATGAGCTATTTGAAAACTAATTGGTGAATCAAGTGTTCCTATGCTCTTTTGATATTTGTTAAACAGGATTAAATATTAGTATAACTTAGCACAAACTAATTTAAAAGTTTTAAAGGAACTGGCAGTTGGGGGGAGAGGGGCTTGTCTGTTTAGAGATACTGAACCGAAGACTTGCACGTATACATTTAGTTCATCAGGGTCCAAAAGATCCCTGAAGTTCAGAGACAGGGGACCATTCTGAAGGTGTAATTCGAGAGCATGGAGAAGGCTCAGAAAACGAGGCTGTGGCACAACCGTCCTCACTGTCTGCCTGCAGAGAAGGGGCAGGAAGTGACATATTTACAATCACGGCAGCCTCTGTCAGTTGGGAAAGGACAAGGTCAGTGAGCCCTGAGGCACTGGACTGGAATCAGACCCACGGAGGTGAACCTGTGGGTTTTCACGTGGATGGAGGTGGATGGATGGACAGACAGACCTTGCAGCAGACACAGGTGGGTAAGTCTACTCAGCAGACAGAGCTAGGAAACCAACGTCCTCCCACGGGGAGGGATAGAGCAATTAAACAGACATGGTGACATAGTGACATCAGGGGAATGTGGATGAAATACATGGGAATTCTAGGAATTATCCTCACAAGTTTTCTTTAAGTCAAAACAAAAAGTTTGAAAGAAAAAAGAAAGGAAAAAACATTTAGAGCGTTGGTCAGCCAAAGTCACCACAATTTCCAAGACAGTGTGAATCAGAGCAAGAGAAAGAAAGTACGCTTGGCGAGGTACGCTTTCCATAAACCCCAAGCATGGAAGCATTCAAGGTGAGAAAGAAAACCAGAACAAAAAAAGAAGGAACACGTGATACAACCAATAGAAGGCGAGCAAGAAGACGAACACACACAGAAGGGACTTCATAGTAAGAAAAAGCTGAATGTCTGTCCGGTACACGTGTCATGTACCGAATGCATTAACAGCCTGGTCGTATTTCATGAACACGTGACATTTCTGTATCGAGGACGTATTACTACGTGGCCGCTGGATAACACAATGTTTGCTTACCTGCTATACAGAGAGCTCTCTGAAAGTGCATCCATTAATGGTCCAATAATAAACTAAAACAAAACAAAATGTAATTGACATTCAGTTACAGCTGCAACTCTGGGAAGCCGGCTTGCCTTAGCTGCATATCAACAGGACTGCAGACGAGCTGTTCTGAGCAAAGCTGATCTCTTCCACTGCAGGCTAACTCGGGGCTCATTGTGGAGGGGACCTTAATTCCCCTGCCACAACCGAGTAAGTGCAGAACCTTCCCACCTGATGGAAACTGAGGAAGAGAGATCAGAGAGGGCCAGCAAGGAAAAAGGGGCCCAAAGGAGAAATACACAAAGGAAAATAAGCATAGTGACACAGAAAAACAAGAGATACTCAAGAGAAAATGTAAGCCCCTGTGTCTGGAAAACAAAATGGGAAAAAATTCAAAAATATGACAAGGTATTGGGTCAAAAAAGCAAGTGTATAGGAAATACAGGAAAGGCAGGAGAGCGTGGAAAATGATGCATCTCAGAACACGACAGCACGTCATCAGTTAGGAAGGGTTCCCGGGCACCTCCGAGGGTAAGTGTCCCCACCCTGGTGATCACGTGACTCAGTGGCGCACCAAAACTTAAAACCCCAGCGGTAATTCTCAAGTCTCGGTGTGATTTCTGACGAATGTAAGTAGAGATGCTCATGAATCCAGCTCAAAGGCAACGTCTGCTTAACACAGGAGCTGACAATAGTCACTGGCTCACAACCAGGGGAGCGGCACCACTGCACAAACAGCAACTATTCAGAGATCCGCGCTGGGAAAACAGCATCATTACGCTCATCTATAAAAGCTCACTTGCTCTGAGAGCGCCCTCGTAGAGAGGCAACAAATGTCTTTACCTCTCATCTTTTTTTTTTTTTTTTAAAGATTCCATTTACTTACCTGACCGAGAGAGAGATCACAAGTAGGTAGAGAGGCAGGCAGAGAGAGAGGGGGAAGCAGGCTCCCTGCTGAGCAGAGAGCCCGATGCGGGGCTCGATCCCAGAACCCTGAGACCATGACCTGAGCTGAAGGCAGAGGCTTCACCCACTGAGCCACCCAGGCGCCCCCACCTCTCATCTCTTGAGAAAGGGAGCAAGGGGGAAGAAAAAGGCTATCATTACCTCAGAAAACTCTGGTGCAAATGGAAGACTCTTTGTTTCATACAGCTCCAAAAAATGGATGACACCTTCTTTGGTCAGGATTTTATTCTCACTTTCGAACATTCTTTTATAAATGCACATGTGCCAGGAGGGGTGAAAGAGCCAGCACCCTGTGGAGACAGACCACGCAACGCTGACACGGATCCCACGGAAATCTGAAACTGTCGCTCCTCTGCTTAAAACCCTTGACTGGCTCCTCATACTCTTGGGAAAAAATCTGAATGAGGCATGAAGCGACCGTGAGAACGAGGCCGACGCCACCACCCTGGGCCACGCTGGGCCTTTGGGTCCTCGGCCTCGCTGAGCTGTCCCAGCTCAGGGCTCCCTCACACACTGCAGTCTCAGCTCCGTGCTCCCTCCTGAGGTGTGCCTGCCCCGACGGCCCTGCTCCCTGTATATCCATTTCCATCCCTTATTTGGTACCTTCCTAGAACTTATCGTTACCACTTTTTTTTTTCATGGGAAAGAGACAAAAATTACGTGAAAAACTATCTCACCCCTTTATCCCTAGCACTTAGCATATCCTGGACCCTAAGTGAATCTCCACTAAATATATAAATGAGTGGGGAAAAAACCCAAAAGAGAATAAATATATACCCAGAGGTATTTTTTTTAAACTCTTTTGAAATATCTTTTAATTCTTCTAGAAAAAATTTACTCAGCATTTTTAACTCACAGCATTCTAGAAATGAACTGGTCCTTTATTTGTCATTCACACCAAGATGCTTGCTTGTTCAATGCTTTGGCGATGGCAGTTTTTCCATACCTGTCACTGTTATTCGATTTGGTTTGCCAAGAGCCGTGGGCAAAATGTGGTAATAAGAGAATCATTTTACTAGTAAATGCATAAGTGAAGTCACAACAGGATTCAATTAAATTCTAGCCCCAGGGGACGACAGAGTCTAAGAAAAATCCCACTGTATCAGAAAACAACTACAGGACTTACTGGGGAAAGCTCAGCTCCTGAGGGGGTCAAACTATTAAAGTTGTAATTATCTGGAGTCGGCACTAAAATCCATTTACCCAGGTTAATTCTGGTGGGTAAACACAATAGTGCAGCAGCTCATCATTCATATGCAAACCAAACACACAAAAATGCATTTAGCTGTTTTGTTGATACAAGCCCAGTCTCATGAAATAATGTTAGGAAGCTCCAGTTTCTATTTCTCCCAAGAAGCTCCCAAAACACAGTACCGATTAAAGCCTTAACAACCACACTTAAAATTGTATCTTGGAATCTTCCTTAAAGTCCAAGATCTAGAATAATAACTGAAATCCCAAAAAAGTAATGAACAATGAAACAGAGATAGAGAATAAGAATGGAGAGCAGTTGATATATAACACCAAAGAGCCATCATGAAAAATGTAGAATATACCATCATCAAAACATTCCTAAAGAGCCCTCATCTGTGAAGGGTGCACACTCAAATGACTTCAGACAACAGGGTCTGCTGTAGGGGTTGGGGTGTGCTTCAGGATCAATGGCGGGCAGAGGGGTGGGGGAGGGTACAGAGGGTCGAGGCCGGCCATGGGCTGGTCCCTGCTGAAGCTGGGCGGTGGGGCTCGCTTTACTTATTCCTTCCCTTCTGTAAGTGTTTCAAATGCTCGGTGATCACAAGTTTACAAAATTAACCATATTGCTAAATTACGGCAAACTGCGCACTCATTTAAAGATTTGTTCTCAAAGCCCACTGCAGGATACAGGTAAACGCGTCTGGACACGCTGCTGGATAAGCCAGAACGTTAGGAACCATCAGTCCCGGAAGGCAGGAATCTGGAATGTGAACAGCTGTTCTCTCGGTGGCGGCAGATGCATATCTCCTGTTACACTTTGAAGGTTTTTCCAGATTCTCTATAATGCGCTGAGTTATTTACAAAATCAAGGAGGAAAAAGAGCTATAAACGTTATACAAATCAAAATACAAGTAGCCATTACCATTTTCCTCTGACACTGCATATTCAAACAGACTGTTTAGCTTTGGTAAAACCGGCTTTATGACGTGGATCTGAAAACAAAAACAAAAAAAATATGAAATAAAAACCTTTAAAAATTAAGATAAACTTCAAAAATTCCGATGAAACTTACTTTCATCTATTGTACAACAGTAGCCCTACTACGCAGAAGGTGCCTGATTCTTCCGGTTTTTATATCCTATGAATTCCAGCTATGAGACTGAGTGTGGCAAAGCTAATGAGCAGGACCTAGGATATGGTGACAGTAACGTCACATTGTACAGTGTTATCATAAAGCGTTATGTCATGTAATCCTCAACTGCCCTGGGAAATAGGCAGGGTTGATAATACCAACAGATTACAAAGAGGGCAAAAAAACATTCTCTTGAGGTACTCAAGGGATGTTCAAGGTCACATGTAGAGTAGGGCCAGACTACTATAGGCAAATGTAGGTAAATTAGAGTTTCTAATAAATTATGGAGTCTTATGCATCTACTGATAAAGGAAAACTGTAAAAATGTATTTGAATTTGGAAATGCTTTCTTTATTCCTCATGTACATTTAGCAAGTGAGTAATTCTTTCAGTCCACGAACAAGGCCTGGTGCACACTTGGGGTGATAGCTAACAATGTCTGCAGCTGACAGAACGGGAGGCCCTGCACCACCCTGGGTCTCCAGGAGTGATTGCCCCAGCAGCAGAGGCATCATCTGGGAACTGGTGAAACACCTGACTTCCTGGCCCTGCCCCCACACCTCCTGAATCAGAATCTCTGGGGACCAGACCCAGCGATTTGTACTTTAACAAGCCATCTAGGTAATTCTAAGGAATGTTAAAGGTTGAGAACCACTGTACTAGCTTAAGAACCACTAGTTAAGAACCACTGTACTAGCTAACCACTGTACTAGTCATCTTAAGAGATTGAGTTCAGGGGCGCCTGGGTGGCTCAGTGGGTTAGAGCCTCTGCCTTCGGCTCAGGTCATGATCCCAGGGTCCTGGGATCGAGCCCCACATCGGGCTCTCTGCTCTGCAGGGAGCCTGCTTCCTCCTCTGCCTGCCTCTCTGCTTACTTGTGATCTCTGTCTGTCAAATAAATAAATAAAATCTTTAAAAAAAAAAAAAAGATTGAGTTCAACTTAAACATTCTACAAAAACTAACTCAAAGTTAACTGAAAATGATTTTTCAGGTTTCCACTTGTAGGACTAGTACACACAGCTCTAAGAACTAAAACAGGAAGGAAGGAGGAAAGAAGGAAGAAAGGAAGGCAGGCAGGCCTACAAAATTAAAGGGCAATTATTTACTTAAGAATCTACCTCAAGTTGCCTTAAGTAACATTTTCCTAAGTCTGTATTTCTTTGAAGATTATATAACGTTGAGAAACTAAAAACTTCACTTCAGAAGTAAATGTCGAGGGCAGAGCAAGTAAGGCTAAAACTCTTCAAGTGACAATTTAAGTCAATTAAAAGTATGCTTTAATTCCTGAGTTAACATTCAGCTTTAAATTAAATTTATGCCAGAAAACAAAGTACATTTGTATCTTATTATGCTTTATCCAAATTGGTCTTTCTGCATTGCCTTTATAGACTGTTTGAAAAAAACTAAAACTCCACCTACACAGGATCTGATAAAATACGAAAACTCTTACCTGATTTCCTTCTAGAGTTTCCATAATTAAAATATAGTTTTCCCAAAACTTTAGCAGCTCATCTTTCTTCTTCTCGGACCACCAAAACAGACTTGGGCCTGATAGGGTTTAAAAAGGAAAATTAGTTCCTTCTTTTGTAGATTTCATAGTTTTCTTAAAGACATTTTAAAAATAATGCCACCATTAGCCAATACTGTATCCTCTAATAATGGAGGGCATCCCTGTATCAAAGCCTAGAGAGTAGGCTTGGGCTAACAAGAATCTCAAAAGGTTTTTGTTTTTTTTATTTTTACTACGATTATTGTTCCAGCATTCTCGGCAAGGGTCACGGATTTGAACACTTAAGCCCCACTTTCTCTCCTTAAGAACCTCACAATAATAGTCAAGGACTTTTCAAAGGCAAAAACCCCAAAGAATGGCAAAAACCCAGAAGCCAACACCAGTGAAACTTAGTTTGAAGATCAGAGAAAAACCAAGCGCACTCAGGAAAAGTGAACATAAGGTGGCACATGGAAAGCCAAGAAGAAACCCAATTTACACTTGAACTCAGCTCTCCAGACCTAAGGAACAAAAGTTACTTTGTAAGTGGAGGGGAAAAGCAAGGCTAAACTAAAAAGAATTTTGTTTGGTGTGTTAAGAAACAGATCCTCAGTGCCCTTTCCTATGCTCTGAGCATGAAAAAGCCTGGAATTTATTCTCTGGAGAAGGTAAACTTGTGGGTCTCTAGATTGAGATGCATTGGACCCTACTAGGGTCGAGAGGAAGCGAACATGTATGCACCTCGCATGTTGAGACCCCCACCCCTTCTACCTGTCCCTTCTACCACCAGAGCCCCTCAGGTCCCAGGATGCTGGTCTGGCCTTCACTATGCAGCAACAGACTGGAAGGTCTCTGTGGAATCTGGCCAGCCCAAGAGGAAAGACGTGAAAATACTACTGTCAGAGATTCCCCAGTACCGTGGGGCTCGGCCAGAACACCTTGCCGTGAAGTTCACGGTCGGCAAGCACCACTTATGTGTGCGGATTTGGGGTTCCTTATTCATTTTTTTTATTAAAGATTTATTTATTGAGAGAGAGAGAAAGAGCTCACAAGCGAGCAGGAGGAAGGGCAGAGGGAGAGGAAGAGAAATCCTCAAGCCAACTCCTGGCCAAGTGTGGAGCCCAAAGCAGGGTCCAAACCTGAGATCTGATCTGAGATCATGACCTGAGCAGAAACCAAGAGATGAAGCTCGACCTATTGAGCCACACGGGCCCCGCACTGGTTCCTTATTCTTAAGTAGAAGCAGGTATCTAAGATCACCAGCCATCTGGGGAAACAGCCACATAAAGATCAAGACCAAAACAAACAGAGATTTGGAGAGAACAAAAATATGCCAGAGGGAGAAAACCTCATGTTGTCATGAGAACAGGATACAATTAACAAGGAGACATTAGAAGAACAAAAAAGATCGCATGAGAATAGAAATTTGATAGAAAAAACCAGAAACTCAAAGAAAGGACTGGAAATAAAGTTGAGGGGGTCACCCAGGAACTAGAACCAGGAGACAAAATCATAGGAAACAGGACAGAAAAGATGCTTTGATAACCAGTCCAGGAGCTTCAATATCCAACAAGAGAACCGAAAGCAGAAAGGAAGGGAGCAAAGAAAGTAATTCAGGAAAAGTTCTCAGAACTGAAGATCATGATTTCCGGACTGACCAGGTCCACCGAGTGCCCAGGGCAAGGATGAGAACTGACAGGTACCAAAACTGTGAAACTTGAGAATGAAGGCGCCCGGGCCCACTAACTTCCGTGCAGAAGAAATGGAACACGTACAAACAAACACGATTCCGAACGGTTTCAGACGGCTCGACAGTAACACCGGAAGCTCAAGCTCCTAAGATAATAGATCGGTGCCTTCAAAATTCTGAATGGAAATGTTTTTTTAAGCTAGAATTCCACCCCCACCTCCATCGAACCATAAATAAATGTGACAGGAAAACAGAGGCAGTTAGACAAGCTTGGTCTCATTTCCACTTAGGATAGAGAAAGCTACAGAAGAACATTCCCGCCATACGGACAGAGAGAAAAGGCTGGACACACGGTCCTAAACCCTGACACCTGAGACGACAATGCCTCCAGGGGATCGGAACTGCACAGGGCAGAAGGCCTCTCTCTAAGAACACACAAGACACTCGAATTCAATCTATCTCTGGCCAAGAGCAGGAAGAGGTGGTCACCAAAAATGTTAAAAAAAAAAAAAAAAAAAAAAAACAAGCAGGGGCACTGGGTGGCGCAGCTGGTTAAGTGTCTGTCTCTTGGGTTCCACTCAGGCCATGATCTCCGGGTCGTGGGATCGAGCCCCACATGCTCAGTGCGGAGTCTGATTCTCTCCCCCTCCCCCTGCTCAAGCTCTCTCTCGATCTAAAATAAAATCTTTTTTTAAAAAAAGAAAAAAAGAGCCCAATGAAGGTTTGTTGAGTTTTTTCCAAGGCGAGGTGTGGGCTTGTTTGACAACCTAGAACCCCGGGAACCCCAAGGGAGTCCGCAACCACTCACCAGCTCTCTTCCTTAGGCATCCCCCCAAGTGATCTGAGGAAGATGGTGGGAAAGGCAAGAGACTGGAGCACAGGCGTGCAGGGCAGGAGCAGGTCTGAGGACGGCGGGACTAACCGAAACAGCCAACCCAGCCTTACACCAGTACAAAGTGGTGGTCAAGTGCTGAAGCCTGTCTGCCCCCAGGATCCTCCTCAAACAGGAGACCAAAGGCGTCTGCCCCTGGAGGAAACCCTGCCACATCCCCACGCCTGTCTCTGTCCCGACACCAGGCAAACATTGGCCGCCCTGGGAGATGGAGAGAAAACCCGCTCACCCAACCCTGTACCGACAGGAGGAAACCCCTCATGCGCAGAATCCCGGGGCGGGGGGGCGGGCGTGGGGGGGATACGAAGCAGGTCTGCTGCCGTGGGGGAGGGCAGGGAACCAGCGGTCAAGTCCTACCACAGGCAGGAGCAGAATGCAGCCACCACGGGAGAGGGTGAGGGAACTCTACACCCTTCATCAAGTAGGACACAAGGTTATATGCCATCGAGGGAGCTGGATGGAAGCCTGAGGTTCGGGCACACCAGGCCTAAGAAGAGGATGGAGCAGAAGAGATGAAAAGTACCACCCCCTCAACCATCTCAAGCCTTGTACCAAGTAACGGATATCAGCCATCTACCCTTGAGGGAAGGACCCCAACTGTGGTGTTAGTATCAAAGTCTTCAGAAGACAAGAACACAGAGGAAAATCCTTTAGGGACTCCCGGCTTCCCACTAAACCCAAGGAAGCAACACCCCACAGCCATGGCAGCAAGACCCAAATCCAGCTTCACCATAAACTCGCGTGACCCAACCCCCAACACTAATGGCCTCACAGAAGAGGAGGGCGCCCATCCCTAGACACAGAGATCCAGTTCACTCTACTGACGAGAGTGACCCCCTTGCCCAGAGATAAAAGAAAAAACAAAACCAACTCAGAGATGGCTCGTGCAGAGGACTCATACAGGATTACAACTCACATGTTAAGGGATCTAGGGGAGAAGGTAGACAACCTGTGTGAACAGCTGGGCATTTTCAGGGAATGGAAATTAAGTGTCAGATGGAAATAAAAGAGAGAATAACACATCAGGGGCGCCTGGGTGGCTTGGAAGGTTAAGCATCCGACTCTTGCTTTAGGCTCTGGTCATAATCTCGGGGTCCTGGAACGGAGCCCCATGTCGGGTTGGGTGGGGGGGTGTCCACGCTCAGCAGGGAGTCTGCTTGTCCCTCTCCCAACCCCAGCTCGCCTGCTCTCTCGCTCTCTAAATAATCTTTAAAAACCTATCAGACATGCTCTGATAAAAATTTTTATCTCTGGATGATGCCTACACCAAAACAAGTGAGAAAACCAAAAAAGATAAAAGCTTGAACTCCAGGAAACGAGAATTCCAAGCCAGGCATCAGGTGAGGGCAGAGCTGAGAACTGGCAGCCACACATCAGGCTGAGCTTATAAGGGGAACGTAGGAGAGACGTCTTGGAGAAAATGATTGGACTTTGTATAAGAAAGATTTAGAGGATGAGCTAACTTCAAGGCTGAATTCATGATAAATATAGAGAGAACCAAAGTCATCTGTAAATGACCTAATTCCAGAAAAAAACCTGCAGGAAGGGGGAAAAAATCATAATTTACTACATGGGTCATCTGTGAACATCTTCAGTCATAACTTTGCAAACGTTGAACTTACATTTAACTGAACTGTAACTGTGGCAAATGATGTTGATTTACCCAGATTATTGGAAGACACAGAGGTAAGTCCAAAATAATCAGCTCAAAGAGGTACAAGTGGTTGCTCTCCGAGGGGCAGGAAGCAGAGACCACTGCTCATCTTTAAAACTCTGTAGAATGACTCTTTAAAAAAAATGACTTCAATTTTGGTCATTTAAAAAATGTTCTCCGGGGGCGCCTGGGTGGCTCAGCGGGTTAAGCCGCTGCCTTCGCCTCAGGTCGTGATCTCAGAGTCCTGGGATCCAGCCCCGCATCGGGCTCTCTGCTCTCTAGGGGAGCCTGCTTCCTCCTCTCTCTCTGCCTGCTTGTGATCTCTCTGTCAAATAAATAAATAAAATCTTAAAAAAAAAAAAAATGTTCTCCGGTGAAAACTCTCCTTGGATGATCACTACTTTGTGGACTGCCAAAATATTTACTAACGTTGTAGACAAACATGAAGATCTACTCCCAACTTCAACCAAACAAAAAACCCCTTACCAGTAAGAGGGGGTACAGTTAAACAGGCAGAAATTATCTATGGGGACAACTTTTTTTTCTTTTCCTTTTTTTAAAGACTTTATTTATTTATTTGACAGGCAGAGATCACAAGTAGGCAGAGAGGCAGGCAGAGAGAGAGGGGGAAGCAGGATCCCCACCGAGCAGAGAGCCCGATGCGGGGTTTGATCCCAGGACCCTGAGATCATGACCTGAGCGAAAGGCAGAGACTCAACCCACTGAGCCACCCAGGCGCCCCTCTATGGGGACAATTTTGAATCATTCTATCTTGGTCTTGGACAGCTCAGAAAGATGACTGAAAGGCACTTTCCCACATTTCAGCGAACAAACCAATCCACAGTAAGTACCACACTGAAGGGAGTCCTTGGTAGCTGGGCCACTCTTGCTTTGTCATCAGGGAGTAGGAAGCATAGTCTCAAAAGATTTTTTAAAAATTACTTAAAATCGGACTCACCCTATTAAAACAATAGCAAAACACCCTCCAAAGGACGACTTAAGGACCAAACATTTTACAGAGAGAACTACCAAGGGAAAGTTCCAGAGTGTGATGATTCCTAGGGCAGAATTGTACCGTGCACAACCCAACCACTCATCTTTCAACTTGGTGGACGCGAGTCCTTCCTCCCTGAGCAGGGACCTACCCCGAGATGGCTCAGATTGGGGCTGTCAAACCCTGCTCGGACTCAGCCACGTTCCTCACCATTCCCCAGCTCAGGCTGCGCCCCGCTCTGGGTCAGAAAGGTGAGGAAGCGCGGACTGTTCGCAGCTGCCGAGATTCGTGTCGCCTGGAGACCACCCCGAGGTGAGGTTCCCAAGGTTTCCAGGCTTTGGGGTTACGGGACACACACACGCACGGAAGGCGGAGAGCTGGTTTCGGAAGCAGAAGCCCCCCCCCCGCCCCCCAGAAGGCCAAGGGGGCTGGGACGGAAGCGGGGAGGGCAGTACCGGTTCCTTCCCGGGGGCCGCAGGCGCAGGGCGCGCCGCGCTCAGCCGACACCTCCACCGCCCTCTGCAGCAGGTAGCGCGCCCGCTTGCGCGTCAGCGCGTCGGGGGCCCGCGCCAGCCCCGCCTGCACCGTCCTCCAGAAGCGCCCGCAGCGCCGCGCGTCGGGGACCTCCTCGTCCGCTCCGGGGCCGCGGTCGGCGCCGGGCTCGGGCAGCAGCCTCTCGGCCAGGGCGCTCAGCACCAGCAGCCGCGGCCCGACGCGGCCCGGCCCCGAGGGCGCCCCGGCCGCGACCAGCCCGGCCCAGACGGCCCGCAGCGCCGCCCCACCGCACTGGCCCAGCGCCGGCAGCAGCCTCCCGGCCGCCAGCTCCGCCGTGTCCTCCGCCGGCCCGGCCTCGTCCCGCTCCCCGTCGGCGCCCAGCGCCAAGGCAAGGGCGGCCTGCGTCACCCGCTCCAGGAGGGGCCCGTCCTCGCGGGGCCGCAGGCAGGGCCCGACCGCCGCCAGCACCTCCACCGCCGCCTCCGCACCGGCCGCGGGCCCCCCGGCCACAAGGTCGCGCAGCGCCTCCTCCGCCAGGGCGGCCGCCAGCTGCGGGCCCCCGGCGAGGCGGGCGCACGAGCGCAAGGCGGCGGTCGCGGCCCTCAGCACGCGCCGGCTGTCCCGGGGCGGCAGGTCGGGGTCCGGGCCGCCCGCGGGGCGCCCACGCAGGCCCCGTAGCAGCGGCACCAGGAACCCGGCGGCGACCTCGCGCGCCGCCTCCGGGAGCGCGCCCGCATCCCCGCCGCCACCGCGCTCCTCCGCGTCCTCGAGGCGCTGCAGCAGGAAGCGGAGCGTCTCCACGCGCTCCGCGGACGCCTCCCCGCGGCACAGCGCCCGGAGCAGGACCCGAGGGTCCGGGCTCTGCGACAGCAGCGTTTCCGCGAGGACCCGCTCCATTTACCGCGCGCGCCCCGCCGAGGCCACCCGGCGCCCAAAAGACGGGCGTGCGCGAGTGCGTGCGCGTGCGCGGTGCCCGGGCGCCCGCTGGGAGGGGGCTGCGGCCCCGCCCCGTCCCGCTCCGCGCGCGCCCTGGGCACGTGTCCGCTACACCGTATGCAGCGGGTGCCCCTCGCCCCACCCTCACTGTTTTTTAGAAGAAAGGTGCCCCTGGTTAAAAGATGCTGTAGTGCGCGCTCCAGCTCCACCGGTTCCTAATTGGAGATTGGCCTGCCGGGGCCCTAAATCAAGCAGGTGTTCCTGAGAGCTCAGGCCAGAGGTACACCTGAGGGCAGCTCTCAGCCGCTTAGGAGCTTATTTTCCAAAAAGGCACAGGCTGCCCCCCCCCGCCCCGCCCAAAGAGATTGACACAGTGGGTCTGGAATGGATTCCGGACACTTGCAAAAAAAAACCAAACCAAAACAAAACAAAAACAAAATCCTGAAAACGTGAGAATGGTTCAGAGGCCCTGAAAACTACTTTAGCTATGTGTTAGGGACAGGCAGGGCTGAAAAAAAGAGGCCCACCCCGGCCTTTGCAGTCAGTGTCCAAAGCTGACTGTAGCAAGCAGATGTTTCTACACAGTGCTTGTGTTCCCCTGTGCAATCTCAAAAACTGGCCATCCATGTATTTTCTGTGTTTGTGACAGCATCTACTGCTACAAAAACAAAGTCTTGGGTTAGCATGGATCTTACTGGTTTGGTTCCCAGGCAAACTGAATCTGTGACATGGGTTTTCTTTGCCTTCTAACCGTAGAGATCTCTCCCATAGTGAATGGAGAAAATAATACCCCACCTTCAAAAAGTTTGACATGTAATAAACATAATTGATAAGGTATAATTTAGAGTTACTTAAAGTTAAGGTTACTTTTACATAAAGTCATTTTATGTTTTGGATTTTATGTAACTTAAAGTTATCTAAATTTAAAGTTACTAAACACCATGGATGCAAGATTTTTCCCCATCTTTCTGTCCATTTTCTTCATTGACAGAATGCACAAATGCTTCTATTGTAAACCCACTCAGAATAAATTTCAATTGCCTTCAAGATACACTTCTCATATGCCTAACAAACAAAAATGGACAAAACTATCAAATGAAGACGTGCAAATGCAGACCTCTGAAAAGGTGTTCAGTATTCGTTGTTAGAGAAATGCAAATTAAACCATCAAAAAGATACCTTTTCACACCCCCTTTGAATAGCTAAAACTTCAAAGATTGGAAAGAGCCAAGGACTCACTTTGGGAAGCTGTCTCTAATGACATTTATACCTCCACCCCTGGATATTTGCTTAAAATAAATGAAAACATATTACGACAGAAATGTTTGTACAGGAATGTTGTTGCCAACATTAGTCATTATAACCAAAAGTTTATCACAACCGAAACATACCTTGATGGAGGAACAGATAAATTGTGATCTGCTCGTATAATAATGCTTGCTGTTCAGCCATAGCAAATTACTAATGCATGCAAGAACATGGGTTAATCTCAAAAACATTATGTTGAACAAAAGAAGCCAGAGAACAAGGTTTACATACTGCATGATTCCATGTATGTGAAGTTCAAGAATAGACATAACTAATCATTTGGGTAGAAATGAGAATGGTACTTGCCTACAGGAAGTGGAAATTAAAACGGAACAGGGCACCAGGGAACTTTCTGAGGTAATGGAAATATTTTTCTTGATTAGGGTGTCGGTCACACAGGTTTCACACTTGTCAAAACTCCTTGAAATGAATCCTTGAGATCTAGACATTTCAGTGCATGTAAGCTTTACCTCAGTTTTTAAAAATAACTTATTAGAAACATATTCATAAGTTGGCCTATGTTTCGTGCCCTGTTACCTACAGACTAAAGCCCAGCTCCAGAACGTGCACTGAAGGCTTCTCAGCCTCTGTTGAAAGCCAACCAGTCTCCTAGCGAATTCCCCCTACTGTGCCCCGTGTTCCAGTCACGCGGAACATGGTGGGCAAGTGGTCTCCTAACTACAGAGCTGCCTTTTCCGTCCTTGATGGTTGAGGATTTCCTTTTCCTGAAGCGCTGTCTTCCTCCAGGTCTCATTTTCTCATGACGTAGCTTCTTCCTGTTTTCTTTTCTCCACCTCTTTGAAGGAAGACTCCTCTTCCCCCTCCTGACCTGTTTCCACAGTTACACCACCAGGCCCCTGTTCTTCTCACTTTATAAATTTTACTGGAGTAACTTCATTAAAACTAGAGATTGGGCTACCATTGATGTGCTAATGATCAGAAAAAATCCGTATCTCCTGCCCAGATCTCTCTCCTGAGCCCCCAACCTATCTACCCAACTGCCTGCCAGACGTCTCCATTGGCGTACCCAAGCATCAGTCTGACTTTACACTTTTACAAACTTAAGCCATTGTCCTCACTCCCCCAGCATCCTTACTTCTTCCCAAGTATTTCTAAAATTCTAGTGTCCCCCCTCCTTTGTCCCCAACCAATACCTTAGTTTTCAACTGTTCTCTTTTCTTACTAAGATAACAGCAGCAGCCTCCCGCCGAAATCACTCTCCACTCCAATACCCACTCCATGCTGCTACCAAGATGCTCTTCCTGAAACTAAACCACTGGTGGCCACAGCCCTCAGAATGATGTTTCACTATTTTAATGTGACATCCAAGATGCCTTGGGAGGTGGCCCCTTCCTACTTCTCCAGCCCCATCTCCCACATGCCCCATATACACCTGGATTTGGAAGTCCCTGAAACACGCCACGTGCTCTCACTTTGCCCTTTCAAAAGCCCCTCCATCATCCAGAGAGCCCTTACCTCTACTCCACATGACTGGACACAGTTCCTTTCAGGACACTGTTCAAATGTCACCTCTCCCAACAGTCGTTTTCTTAACACCTCACTCCCACCAACAACACCCACCCCCAGCTTAGGCAGGTGACCCTCTTCCAAATTCCCAGAGCATCCTCGCATATCACTAACACTGCATTTGTCATGTTGTGATGTAATTGCAGGTTTATGTTTCCAGCTGCCTTTCACCGTGAGCAATTTGAGGGCCAGGGGTGGTGGGAAGAAGGTATGAGGTTATTGTCTTTAATCACACTAATCCCAGCACGTGCTCTTCTACCTACTTCGTGCTCAAGAAACGCTATTGAGGGGCACCTGGGTGGCTCAGTTAAGGGCCCAACTCCTGATTTCAGCTCAGGTCATGATATCATGGGTCGTGAGATCGATCCCCAAGTAGGGCTCCATGGTGACCAGAGAATCTGCTTACAATTCTCTCTCTCCCTCTGCTCCCCCCACTCCAACTTGCACGCATGCACTCTCGCTCCCTCTCTCTCAAATAAATAAATCCTTAAGAAAAGAGAGAAATGCTTACTAACGGGCTGACCATCTCTAATTCCTCCATGAAGACCCAAATTACAGGGCATTTCCAATAAGCCATTCCCAATGGCCCGAATCATACCAGCTTCTACTTGTGTATTCTCTGAACCTTCCACTGTAGCAATAATAGTGGCTAACAATTACCCACCATATTTACTATAAAGAAGACGTGGTAATATTTTTCTATATGTATTAATACATTTAACCCTCAAGACAACTCATAAATGATGTGCTATTATTTTTCTCATTTTATGGAAGAGGAAACCAAGAATGGGGGAGGTTAAGGAATGTGCCCCAAAGTCACATGACAAAAAAAGCAGCCAAGCTGGCTCAAAGCCACGCACCCTGCTCTAAAACATCAAGAGAGAAAAGTACACAATGAACGTGTCAGGTTAACTGTCTCACAGCCCCTGCTAGTGTCTGGAGCAACCGCTCAGTAAACTATTGTGTGAACGGATGAATGTGTTTGTTTCTGCCACAGCCTATGCACACCTTAAGAATCAGGGTTGCGCTTTAATTCATTTTGTATCCTACACACCAAACAAAGTACCAGAAACATAGTAACCCTGCAGTGAGTGCTCGAACCTGGATAAGTAAGAATTCAGTATTTTGTGGTGACAGTCAGATAAATCCAACGGTCAGAAAATTCGCAGTGACACAATTACTCTTAAAACATGAGCCTCTGCGAGCTGACATCCTTGTCGCTTGGATCAACATGTAATAAATCACTGCTCTGGTAGAGGAGACCCAGAATCTCCAGCTACATACCCCTCCTCATCCTTGCAAAGGTGAATGGTCGGTTACGAGTGATAGAATGGGGTTTAGAATCCTTTGCTGTCCCTAATCCTTGCCATTTCCCTGCTTCATCCATAAGTGAATAGAGTTTATGACTAGCAGTTATCTTATCTAGCACCAGCAAAAGCAGGTGCCAGTGGAGGCAAGTGTCACAGTCTCTCCTGCTTTCTTAGCTACTTTAGCTCAAGGATTCATGAATTCAGCGTTCTGTCCTGCATCCTTTACACCCAAAGCTTGCCACCTGCTGTTTCCTCCAGCGATGAACGATGAACGTGTCTGCTTCTGAGAAAGAGACTCTGCCCGTGCTTTGTCTGATGGATGCAAGCGTCTGGCGATGGCCACGGGATGTGCTCCCTGCTCACAGCTGAATGACCCCCTTGCTTATGCTCTCATGAAATGGGCTGCAACGCACAAATCATTCAGATTTAGGCATTAGTTGCCGATGCCATATATTTTAAATCTTCCCATGAGCTCTCTAAAGATGGATATCCTGGATTCCCTTCTAAGCTGAAATAGTGCCCTTATAAATGGGATGGTTTGGCAGTTCCTCTGAGTTTTAATCCTGACTCTTCTCCCGTTTCCAATTTACAATGAATACCTCTTCCTCTTTGGAAGGTAACGAAGAGAGGTGAATGGGGAAGTGCCCGTTAGGGAAAGTCATCCAGGTCAATGTTTTCTTAAATGTCTCTTCCTTAGAGGAGTGTTGGTGCGAACTCCCTGTTTGCTGCTGCTGAAGTTCCTGCAGGTACTTAACTGGGTCTTTCCTTGACCCAGTGAGCCAGAGCACCCCAATCCTGTGCGTGACAGATAGCCACGGAAAACAGTGAA